TCATTTTCTATGCTCTTTTAAGTGATAAATTTCATTTTTCGTGATAGGAAAATAGTATTTTTACAAAACTTTTCTTATATATGCAGGTGTATTTGGGATGCTACTTGGAAAATAAGTCGATAATGTTGTGTAGTTTTTAAAAAGCTGAAATGCACAAATCTATTACATAATAGGATGTGTTTAAAAAAATACAAATAATCCACAACGCCGCTTATTTCAAAGACTTCCTGTAAATTTAGATCCCGGCTCTCGTGTGACCCTACTTGGCTCCGGGGTTATGTTAAATAGAAACTAGAAGCGAAATCTGAATCAAAGTGACACAAATATAATATTTAAGAAATATGTTTACAAATTACAATAAAATATACTATACATAATAAGCATAATTATAGTGATTATGCACACCCCCCCCCCCCCCAAAAAAAATATGAATAAGGCCATCATTAAAGTATTGTTTGTTTGCCCTCTCCTGATTCAGGGTAAAATTATTAAATCGGCAGGTAGGTAAGAAAATCTTTTTTTTCTAGACAATTTCAACATATTTGCTGACAGGATAAGAGGAATAAAAAGAAAAAAAATATGATGTCCTGGAATGTAAAAACAAAAAAGTTTTGAGTCGGGCCATTTTTAGTCAGTCAGTCGGGAGAGGGCAACCAAAAAATTTTTCCAAGATGGCCTAATCTATTTTTTTTGGAAATAGCAAAGTAGATCTCACTAATATAATCAATATTCTAAAGAAAAAAAATCTTTAAACAAGGTCATACACCAAAATATAACTTTTACAACTGTAGGTAATAAAATATTTTTATGTTGCAAAAATACCACTAACAACTTTCCATAGAATATTTCCCCTAACGTTTCCAATATCTAATATAAGAGAAGTAAACACTAATTTATACATGTTATATATGTGCACGAGTTATTATTAATTGGAAGATTGAATTTTTACAGAAATACATGATTAATATATAATTTCTTGTGATTCATAGACCTAATATTTGAAAGAAAGGTTCCTACATGCTTAAAAATTGTGATGCAGATAATGTAGTATATACTAAGGTTTCAACAATATATCGTTAAGTTTAGACATATATAAGATTCTCAGATCTTATATCTCCAGTGCATTGGTGAAATTTAAACCAAAGCATGTATACAAAATGAATTATAAATTTTATTATGCTTCTTTAAGAAGAAAAGTGATTTGTTTACAGTGGTTAAAATTGTCTCCCTTGGTGCATATGGTAGCACATTTCTGCAATACATATTTTATCAGACCAGTAAATATTTATTTCTGAAAAACACATCTTTCGCCTTTATATATTTTTCTAGAGTTTTTATATGTTGATTATAATACAATTTACTAATTATAAATAAAGAAAAAAATTCTGTTGCAATTTGTTTAAGTTTTATGACAATTTGACTGGACTACAATGATTTTTAAAATTGTTTAAAGGAACTTTCCACCAGCTGGATACTGTTCGTTATTTTCACCTTTTATCACAAGTAGATACTGAAAGATGTTACTATCATGTGTGCTTGCTTAGTAGATTCCAGAAAATGAGTTGTACTTCAGCAGAACCTGGTACTGTGCCATAACTAAAACAGCACAAGAAAGTTTCTCAATTACAGTACAGTTTCTTCACATTCATTGCTAGGAAGAAGCCTTTAGTTAAACAAATGTGCAATGTTTAATTTGGGGTAGAATAAAGGAGATCCTTGCTCGGAATATCTCAAAGACTAAAAAGATATCAGAAAAAAGATATTGATTGCGAGTAAAGAAATTCATTATATGATTGAATAATTCCTAACACTCTGATTGGCTGTGATCCAACAATGAAGAAAAAATACTACGTTATATTCACCTCCATGTAACCTTCAAGGTGAATATAGGGATTCATTTTCTCCACATTGGTCTAAAAATAGATCGGTATATTCCAAATTGATACAGATAATTTCGAAAAGCTATTTCACTTGCTACCGACTTCCACTCAATGAATATGAATATAACATTAGGGAATATATAATCTGGGGTGGAGCTGGTTGAGGGGAATGTGGGTTGGGTGCAGGGATCCCCCCAAACATTTTTTTCTGAACGTAAATTTTTACTTTTAATTTAGACTTAAAATGTTTATTGAAAGACTGGTCCTCCACTAATGGACCGTAATCCACCTATCCCAACTCTAAAACAAACCTTGAAGTTAAAAGAATTTCTATTTTCGTGGGGGCTAATCAAAGATTTTTCAGTTGTCATTTTTCCCTGATAATGCCCCCCCTTTTTTATCTAAATTTTTTTCTATAAAAGAGCCTGACATTATTTCCTTTTTTTCAAAGCAACTAAATTAGATTTTTTAAAAAAATCCAAATTAATATGACTGGTGATGTTTATTTGACCCTGCTTCTCTCATTGTATTTAGCCTTAGACTTCAGCAAATGTAAACAAGTAAGATGTCATGAACTGCTTAATGAGTTCGTATCATTTAATTATTGAATCATATAATGAAACAATTATTGCTGTTTTTTCAGTCAATACGATGATTTAGCCACCCTCGAAGTACAAATATTCACCTCGCCTTTCGGGCTCGTTGAATATCGTACTCCTCAGGTGGCTAAATCATCATGACATCTACACCATTTTAATACAATTTACTTGCCTTTATTGTATCCTGATCTTTGGGTCTGATAACTTAAAAAAATCAATTGTGAAATGTAAATTTTTAGAAGTGCATTAATAGGACAAAGGTTGTTGGCAACACTAAGGAGTGACGGGAAGAGAGATTTAGATAAAGATATGCATGTATATGACTTATATTTCTTCATTGTGTATTTGAACTAAAAAAGTTCTCTTCATCTTTTCATTTAAAGGTAATTCATACTATGCATTACTCATGCCCTACTCCCTTCTATCCACAAAAGTGTTAAAATTCGATTTGAATGGGTTTTAATTCAAACTTCCTTTATAACCATGCAAGCTTTCTTTATGACAGAATTTTCCATGAATGAATTTTACTGTACATTGCTAAATATTAAGCCCGGACTTCGTTCTAAAAGTACTAATCGTGCAGTCAATCACAAACGTACTATGGACTTTAAAACAGCACAATTTATCTAAAAACAATGAAATACATGTACACGTTACTTGTGCAAGGCAAAAAGTCATTTAATTTACAATTGATGCAACGGATCCTTCTACGTGACACATCCAAATCATATTAACATGAAAAAAAAGCCGAGATAGATATCTCTGAATCTACGTATTAAAATATGAAAAACGTATGCACTTTTTTTAAAAAACTTTTTAACCTATCATGCTTTTGTGAACTAATTAAATACACTTTTTGGAAGTAAAGATATTACTATTAAACAAAAGGAACAAACAAAAAATATGAAAAAATTGCATTTTTTAATTTTTTTTATATTCATTGCTGATAGTTTACTTTGAACTATAAACTTGCTCCTTTTTGCACGAATAACAAACTTAATGTCAATACGCATGTTATGAACTAAGGTTTCAAGGAACCTTTTTTTGGAATTGAGCATCGTTCTCGCTATAATGCATTCCACATATTATTTAAAGTTGTAAGCATGTTTTGAGTAAGGCCCAGTCTTCTTTATTTGGCCCTAAATGTTTTTGTTTGGGCTTATGTCAGGACTTTTCTAGACAACAAAAGTGTAGAAACTACACCGTAGTATGTCACGGCATGCTGCTACATATTACATGTAATCGTTCTGTGGTTTATACCAAACAAGCACCCATGCTACTAAAATCTTTCAGTGTCTTCTGATGAGCACAAGAGAGTTTCTGAAACGAAATATATTTTCTATATTAACGCACCCGGGAAACGACCCGGACAGAATTTCAGTCTAAAGCAATTCAGTGGAATTTTAGGCTGGAATATGAGTAATTTGATTAAAAAAAAAAACATGCTAACGGCTAAAAAACCGCGAGGAAGATGATACTTCAGCGGGAATTGCACTCAATTCCAAACACGTTCTGTGAAAACATAGTTCAAAATATGCCTAATCGTATTTTGGCTGTTATCCGTGAAAAAAAGGGAGCAACAGAGTACTGTCTTCCTGACATATTTTCTATAATGCAGATTTTTATTGATAAATAGAAAATATGTCAGAAAGACAGTACTATACAAAGTAAATTTTCAATTACATGTATGAATATAATGACTTTACTAAAATTTCAAAATTCATCATATTTTTTCTTTTCCCCTATATTTGGTAGCACTATCTTTATTACCAAAATGTACATTTAACTAGCGCACAAAAGCATGCTAGTAAAGTGGAAAAGTTGGGAAATTAAAAGTTGCACAACACACAAAATAAAATTAATTGGATACAGGAACAAGTTGAAATGGTTCTATCACAATGATAGATTTTTAATAAACAAACTGATATAAACCCGGAAGTCGACTCTATCCAATACCTAATACACTGCTCCTTTTTTTTTTAAATGTGAAGAAATTAAGCCGACCAAAAATCCCCTAGCGGAGGGGTTTAAGAAATAACACAGTATTTAAAAACTTTGAATCATTGTCAGATGTTTGATGAAAAAAATTCCTTCGGCAAATTGATGCAAATTATTTTTAAATGTATACCCATCCGTCATACTCTAAATCATTAGACCATGAAACTATACATGTTAATGTAAACTGTTTCAAATACCTATGCACATAGAAATGTACGGTGTAGTGATAGGACCAACTCGCTGCTTCTTATTGAGAGGGCGACAATGTTACCGTTACGTAGCAATAACATGACGGAGTGAAAAAGATGCCTGACAGAGACACCCTGTTTTCGCTCGACTCGTTGTTCGACCTTCTTAGTGTCGACACCTCAGCTTTCTCGCTTCACTAATATTGCTATAAAAGTGAAGCAGGAAGGTCCAGACAGCTCACCGTAGAAGTGCAACTCTTTCAGGTTTCATGTTCAGGTTTTTATCATTTTCGTCGAAAAAAAGAGTTTAGTCAGAGAGAAGAAATTCCCAAGACATTGACACTGCATGTTGAAAGTTTTAATAACGACCATTTGAAATGAAAGACATTAGGTGGACCTATCTTTTAATTCTTTCGAATTTTGCTGCTTTCGTAGGACTGTGTAATTGTAAAGGGAACCTAGGTACGAGTTTGGATTTATTCAATTATTTATTAAACCTATCTAGATACAATCCTAGCATTATACCGACATGTGGGAACGAGAAACGTGTAACCGTTGAAATTGGAATGGCATTGGGAGATATTGTGGAAATCTGGGAAAAACAACAATTGATTCGTCTTAAAATATGGGTTCGTTTGAAATGGAGGGACTGCATGCTGCAATGGAATTCTTCACAGTTTCAAAACCAGACCGAATTAATAGTACCCTATTCTAAAATTTGGATCCCAGATATAACTCTTTATGAAGGAGTTAGTGACGAAGGAAATATGCCGGATATGGAGGATTATAGAGCTAGTATAAGTCACACAGGGGATGTGACGTATAATTTCCCCAGCATTGTGACAGTGGTGTGTAGATTCAATGTGGCGTACTTTCCTTTCGATCACCAAATATGCAGTATGAAGTTTGGTTCTTGGATGTACTCTGGGAAAAACATTGACTTGAATAGTACTGGCAAAGAAGTGGATATATCTAGTTTTCGTACCCATAATGAATGGGATGTTGTAGATTCTGCAGCAGTGAGACATAATATTTACTATGGATGCTGCCCTGACCCATATCCTGATGTCACTTTTCATATTCATATCCGGAGAAAGCCCTTTTTCTACGTAGTTACAATCATTTTTCCCTGCATTTTAATTAATATGTTAAGTTTTTTAGGTTTTGTACTTCCGCCATTTTCTGGTGAGAAAATTTCACTACAAGTCACGGTGCTTCTGTCGATAACTGTGTTCCTATTGCTTGTACAAGACAAATTTCCCTCAGCGGCTGAAAACTTTCCCCTTCTCGCCATGTATTTTTCATTATGCATGGTACTTGTGTGTGTCTCGTGTGTTTTGTCTAGCATTGTCTTACACGTTTATAATAGGTCGCCCAATGACCATCATATATCTCCATTTATAAGATCTGTTTTCTTAGACAAATTTCGACAAATCATGTGCATAAAATCAGATATGGTCCTAAAGAATGATGAACTCGTGCAGATTTCGGAAATTCGTTGTTTAAAAACTAGGCAGGATCTTCGTCAACAACAATGTATGGAATTGCACAAAGGGGAAAGAACTAAGGACTGTGTGAAACTCTCATTAGGAAAGGGTGGTATTCCAGAATATTCTCCAGAAAGAAGTGACCATTCATTCCTCGACCATCGAAAGTGTCATATCACCAACGAATGGGAACTGTTTGCCTTTGTTTTGGATCGATTTTTTATGTTAATATATTTGTGTCTAACTTTAGGAAACAGTATTGTTTTCATTTTAATTATGGGAAATTACGAAGGAAATGATATTCCAATGGAATAGATACTTTTCATTATCGAATTCACAATACCAAAGATCAAATTATTTTTTAAAATACTAAAAATGCCCATAGTCCATGTATGAAGATGATTAAACAGTACGTTACATGCCCAGCAGTCAAAGATGAGACATCGTTATCAAAACACCCACGTCTTTCAAATGAATGTTTGTTTAAGCATTCACTTTATTAAATGCAAATTAGTTATAAGATTGAGTACATGTTCGAGTGAGGAGGGTACTAGTATCTTTGTATTTTCATTTTGTATCATTTACGTTTTGTTTATAATATAAATAAATTTTCTTTGCATTTCTTTTTCTTATAAGAAAAAGGAGTTCTCGGAACTGGTAGAGTCCTACCTAACCCCAGATTAAGACTTAACAGACGTGATGTTATTATGGAATAAGACGAAATTCGAGCGCTGGTTTTATTTGACATCCTAGTTTCAGAATTCTTTCTTTGTCCTTACATTGTGTTGGCATGTCAAATAAACAGTCGAATGCGGCCGTCTCATAATAATTCTTAAGTAGAAATTACTGTGTATAGATTCATATTGCAATACATTATTATCAAGATATATTGCGACCTAGAGAACAGTATTTATCAAAAAGGATGTTTTATAAAAACTGACGATCGTTTATTTAGAATTGTAAATGCTATACTTTAAAATACATGTAAAGAGAAAGTCTTATTTTTTGAAATTTTCCTATAAACAAGAGTTACTGGCTCTAACGGTGAAGATTTATCTGATTACCGGAGAAGAAATATGGATATTTTCTTAACAGACGTGTTGCTATTTTTAGAAAAGACGAAATTCGAGCATTGCCTTTACTTGACATTCTGATTTTTTTTTTTTTTTTTTTTTTTTTTTTTTTTTTTTTTTGGTTTTCTTTTTTTCTCCTGCTGACAAGCTAAAAGATAAAAAAAAAATACTTATTTCAGTTGTGCTTTGAAAATTTGAAAAATATCTAAAAATTTAATGGACTAAGTGATGAAAAAAATATGGATACTTACTGGGCACATCATGGTGATACATCACTGGAACCGCTGCAATGCTGTTCAGAGACACAAAATAGCACCTCATTAATAATTCACCAAGTCCATTCAAACGAGAGTATGTAATGCAGATTAAGGGTCAGAGGTCAATCTTTTGATGGTCCATAGTTGGCAAGACGCTTACTAATTAGACATGTAGCTCGTGACGTAATAATGTGGGTATAAAGATATCCTCGTTGCTTAAACTTCAAACAATCTATCAATCATATAATCAGGTAAATCGTCAAGGTAGCTCAATTGGTAGAGCGCTCGCTCCGTGATCGGAAGGTCGTGTGTTCGAATCACGGCTGCAACTGATCTAAGTCTATATAAAAAAAATTGGTGGCAATTGTTCCTTCGCCCAGCTCTCGGTACTTTGAAGTAAAAGTTGCTGGTCTTTCGGATGAGACCTTAAAAACCGAGGCCCCGCATCACGATAGGCGTTGGCTAGATAAAGAACCCTCACTGCTCAATGGCCCTGAGTGCCGAGTAAAGGTCTAAATTTGAAGACGTTCACCGGTATTTGGTGACGTCTCTATATGAGTGAAAAATTCTCGAACGGGAGGTAAAACAACATACAATCAATCAATCATATAATCAGGCAGCTTATATTACAAGACATACACTGCTCAACGTAAAAATTGGACATTTATCGCAACAAAAATGAAAATAAGGTATCCTCTTTGCTCTAAACATGTCCCTTTTGATTGATTTTTTTGAAGATTTTTTTATCCATCCATTAAAACAAAAGAAAAGAAAAATGCAAAACAATAAGAAAAACATTTTTTAAAAAAGGGAGTAAAAATATTTCTATAGGTTTTAAACTTTACTGTCATATGCTGAAAAGATCTATGATCTGTTTATACTGTGTCAGTGTCTAACTGCATAATCTCAAATATAAGATTTTGGAAAACATGAAATCTGGATTAAGTTAAGTTTTTCAGTACATTTTGTATTATTTTTAGTTTTTTTTTTTTCATTAATATATTAAATAATCACATCACTAAAGAGACATAATTTGTTGAAATGCACATCTGGTGCATCAAGATTTACATTATGAACCCTGGGTCCAGGCCTCTGCTGGTTGAATGTTAGTCCCCGAGGGTGTCTACAGCCCAGTAGCTAGGTACTTCGGTACTAGCTTAAAAATACGGATATATATTTAATTGCTGTGGTAAAATTTATAAATTTATTATCTCCCTCATGCATAGCTCTGATTTGGCTCCAGTCTTTGACACCCCCATTTTTTCACCTCTACAAAGTTTTTTTTTTTAATATTTCGAATTTCCAACGTTTCGGCATGAATATCACTGAAGAGACATAATTTGTCGAAATGCGCATCAGGTGCATCAAAATTGGTACCGTATAAGATTTACATGCTAGTAATTATTTAATGAATCATATTTTGATAAATAATGTCTTCCTTAAATGAAATAATTTCCGTTGTTTGAGATCTTTGAAAAGTGTTTTATACCCCCCCCCCTTACACACACACACACAAAGGTGATGGACCTTTAAACTCGGATGATGTGAACTTACGCAGAAATAATTGAATAACGTGCATAATTCAAAAGACGCAATAAATTAAATGTATCTAATTCTACAGGTTACTAATATGTGTTTCTTCGAAATCATATTTACACAAAAAATGTGAAATGCTTCTTCAGTTTAGCATTCATAATTATCATGGCGATGAATAAAAATTCCAGTAAAAATTATTTTTTTTAAAAAATTATTACATAGAAAATTTGAAGTAGCATTCCAGCTGGGCTCCAAAAGTTGCAGTACTTAGAACAGACTTAAGACTGAAATAACTGGAAATATAGAAGATTTTAAATGGTCCAAGTACATGTAATCATATTGAATTTTTTAAAAATAAACTTACCGAGCCCAGAAGTCCTACCTAACCAACATTAGAATGCACAGTTGTGGATCATTTTAATAGTAGTTATATACCATATGTCCATGATATAGTTAGCTTTTTGGCTGTGCTTTCAAAAAGTAGGCGCACATTTATGAAATGTTACTCCCTTTGTTTTGTTAATTTGAGCTGTTCTACGGATTGTTGGACAAAAAGTTTGTTTATGATGCATACTCTCTTTGAAATTAGATACAAATTACACACTTGGTGATTTTTACACGAGTATAGACATTTGAGTTTAAGTATTTTCTGAAAAGCGGATTGTGTAGTCTTTCCTATTAAAAATTCAAAAACTTTGAGGGATTTATTTTTTGGTCTATCATGTGTCAATTCCAATGAAACCGAGCGTTCGAATCTTGATTGATACTTTGTCCTTGTAAGACCGTTTTGATACACACCGAGATATATGTTAACACATTTTTTTTTTTATATTTGGTTTAATTTTACTTATACTGTATACTGACAGATGACAAAAACTGCAAATTCTAACCAATAATCCTCATTTCCTTACTAGTAACTAAGTTTCCAAAGATAATCAACGCCCAATTTAGTTGCTTTGATAATCATTTTTGATGTGTCGAAATTTTCGTAGAAGTGTAGTGTATTTTGAGCAAATATAAGTAACTTTTTTCAACTAAAGACGTAACTTATTTTTTTAAAATAAACATTTATTTTTCATCATTTGCAAAACAAACTGCAAATAAAATAAATATCACCCAGGTATCCAATCTACAATATCAGAAAAATACCTGATACATTCATTCTGATGAGTAACAAACCTTAAGTCTCCTTCATTGTTGACAAAGGGTATTCATATAATTACTGTTTTCTTCCTCTCTCTCTCTCTCTTTTATAAGAACTTAGAGTATTATACTCTTCTAACAATCGGATTCTTTACCTGATTATTTGCACTGCTACATTGAAAAATTTAAAGTATAATCTTTCTTGTTTAAGTGGACTGTGAAATCTGAAAAGAAAGTGTAAAATGGAAATAATTTTAAGGGTTTTACTATTGTTTCAACTTATTTTTATTAGTTTGTGTCAATGCCAAAGGAACACTAATTCAAATTTGGATTTATACTACCATCTTTTAGACCCTTCTAGATATATCCCAAAAATCATACCGATATGTGGAAAACAAGAAAAAGTTACTGTTAAAATAGAAATGGCATTGAGAGACATTGTGGAAGTTAAAGAAAAACAACAGTTAATTCGCCTAAAAATATGGGTTCGTTTGAAATGGAGGGACTGCAAGCTGCAGTGGGATCCCTCACAGTATAAAAATCAGACCGAGTTGATTGTACCATACTCCGAAATTTGGATCCCCGATATTACCCTTTACGAGGGAGTCAGTGATGAAGGAAATATGCCTGATATGGACGACTATAGAGCTAGCATAAGCCACACTGGGGACGTGACGTACAATTTCCCAAGCATCGTCACAGTCGTATGTAAATTTAACGTGGCGTACTTTCCATTTGATCACCAAATGTGCAGCATGAAGTTCGGCTCCTGGATATACTCGGGGAGGAATATTGACTTGGAGAAAATCAAGGACAAGGTAGATGTTTCTAGTTTTCGTAAACATAATGAGTGGAATGTTGTAGAAACAGCTGCAGTTAGACACAACATTTATTACGGTTGTTGTCCAGACCCGTATCCGGATGTCACGTTTCACATTCATATCAGAAGAAATCCTTTATTTTATGTGATAACAATTATTTTTCCATGTAGTTTGATAAATCTCTTGTCCTTCATGGGTTTTGTACTCCCTCCATTTTCCGGAGAAAAGATTTCAATACCGATAACGGTTCTCCTCTCCACAACAGTGTTCTTGTTGCTTGTACAAGACAAATTTCCGTCGGCGTCTGAAGACTTCCCCCTTCTTGCTATGTATTTTGCAATTTGCATGTTACTTGTATGTATCTCGTGCGTGTTTTCCAGTATAGTTTTGCATGTGTACAATAAATCACCCGAGGAACACCAGATTTCCCCATTATTTCGAACGATTTTCTTGGACAAGGTCCGAAAAATCATGTGTGTCAAATTTGATAAAGTCATAAGGGAAGATGAGCTCGTTCAAATCAAGGACATTCGGTACTTGGATAAGGAACCAAAAGATATTATTCAACAACAATGTGTAGAAATACGCAAAGAAGAGCCTTATTTAGGCAGGAAACTTTCGTTTGGAAAGGGTGAAATTCCAGAATATTCCCACGAAAATAATGTCCATGCTTATTATGACCACCAAAAGGGTCACATCACAAATGAATGGGAGCTCTTCGCATGCATATTGGATCGCTTTTTTATGTTCGCCTATTTGTGTTTAGCTTTGACAAATTGCGTTGTTTTTACTGTTATCATGATTAACTACGAAGGACAAGACATTCCGATGTAACTGATGTTTTTTTCAAATTGTTTTGATAATATTAGAATTAATTTTCACCATTCAAAAAATACATACAGAAAAAATTGGTTAAATTAAGGAACAAAATTGACTTTTATTTACCGACATTGGTAAAATACTTGTAAATAATATATTCAATTACTTTTATCATGATCAAATATAATGTTAAATATTTACATTTCCAATAAATTGATTCTTTACAAAATAGAATACAGTTCATTTTCTCATGAACTACCATGGATGGGCATGAATATCTCCATTTTTACTTCATGATACCTTACTTGACGTCAACACTATAGTGCAAACTGTTTTGCTTTAAAAATGACAGTTGAATGGAGGTTATTTGTCGCTAATCATCAGAAAAATAATCTAAATATAAGAAATGAATTTAATATTTGAAAATTCATGAGGTACGTGAACTACAACGCTTCAAGCCGGCATATTTATCATGAAGCGCTAACGTGCTTCATGAAATATGTCGGCGTGAAGCGTCGTAGTTCCTGTCCTCATGAATCTTCAAAAATTAAATTCATTTCTTAAAAATACTTTATCACAGATTGTGTTATAAACTGTAGATTCCTTTACTCTATCATCATAAACTAGTGTATATATAGTGTTTTGAGCTTCCTCAACAAAGAATACTGAGTATTGGCGTTACATGTTTAAATGCATGAAATATGGAGATAACGAACCGTATTCAAGCTTAAAGTTCATTTAAACAATACAAATCGGGAGCAGAGCAAACATGGACCTCCAAAAACATCAGAGGTGGGATCAGATGCATGCATTAGTTTTTGTTAAAATCGACGAATATAAGACTCCTTTCTCGTACCATTGTCCATATGAATACATGTATTCTAAGGGAAAAAAGAATTAAAACTATTTAATAATATATATACGCTTATATCGATATTCATTAAGGTTATATATTTAAAAAAGATTTCGATATCGATGTTTTTTTTTAAAGAAAAATATGATTTTTTTTTCAAATTTTACATTACATTATTCTACATTGTAAAATTTGAATTGCACTTACTGAATACAATGTATGCTTATTTTATTCCAGAAAAGTATTTCTATGCTGTAATTCCGACTTAATAAATCAACAAAATACCTACACTAAATATAATACTCTACAATGCCACTACAGGTTGTCATTTTGGAAGTTTTCTTATGTATGTATATAACACTGTGCTAATTTGCAACGGTAATGATTTCGGTACACAAGTTCTTTTACTATTATTTTCAAAACAAAAGAGGACACCACAAAAAAAAAATGATGTGAATTTCCTATATTCCAATGAGAATAATAAGTAGTTACATCATAAGTATTGCTTTTAATATTACACGTACTCCTGCACATAATGTAACAAAGCAATTTACATAAATCTTTCTGTTTTTGTTCTTTTGTTTTGCTACTGATCACATACATTTATTATTCAAAGCCATTTAAATCCGCTTTCGTATTTTTACGTTTATTTTAGTTTGTGGACGTTTGCAGAAATCCTAAGAAAACGGGTTCACTAAGATACACTCTAAGCTCTAGATGGGTGGTCTATTAGTTTTATCATCTGAAAAAAAAAAAATGTTACTTCTTGTTAACAGTATAAAAACTTTTCTATGCAAATGAGTAAGTCTCGCAGTTGAATTTATTCCTTCAATAATATATTGATAAAGAATAATATCTAGCAATGATTAAATATACATTCTTTAAGATCCTACCCACTTTTGTTAAAATACTCGAAAGGAGAGGTAATACATACTAGCACTAGCATACTAGTAATACATACTAGGCACAGCTTTGCACTTGATTCTATGACGCCATGGCGGAAACAACGCATTAGATATGAAGTCACAGTGCTTTTAAAGACGTCGGAGTGCAGGGGCTATATTTCGGCATTGACCTTATATACATATATATTTGGGGTTGGGGGGATGGGTTGGGGGGGTGGAGGGGGTTTGGGGTTGGAGGGGTATGGGGTGGGGGTGGGAGTAGGTTACCTTTATTCTGTGAATGCAAGCGGTGGTTGCACTTTAAAGGATTTTATATCTGAAGGTTCATATTTATTGCATTATATATCAAAACAAAAACAAAAGCAACAAGAAATGTTTTAGAAAAATATATGTTTCCTCCATCGTATGGCAACATTGATCAAATTAATTTAGAATGTCTCTAACGAGTGAAAAAATGAGTAATACACTAGTCAGGGGCAAACATATTACTAAAATTGATCTCTATCAGGAATTAATATTCAGATATACCAAGTTTGATGTATGGAAAGCAAAAGTAAATGGATAAAATTAATAAAGGTAATGTACTCTTTAATGGGTACAAGTATGTTAAATTTGATGTCTGTCAAGCAAAGGGCTCTCAAAATATTTGACCCTTGACCTTTGGTCATGTGACTCCTTAATTAGAAACAATCTAACAAGTCTGATGTCTGTCAAGCAAAGGATTCTCAAAATATTGATTGAACAGTATCTTCCTTTGTCCAGAGTAGTTTGCCTTTGATTTTATAATTATCAATAGGGCCATCTACTCTTTGGGGGTTCCAGTGTACCAAGTTTAAATGTCTGCCAAGTAAAGGTTTCTTACGATATTGATCGGACAAGAAGATCTACATCCCGACTGATATACCGATCGTCGTGTGAAAAGCAAAATACCACCATTTTTACCAGCATATATAATGGATGTCAATGATTTTTTTAAAAAGTGCTTACATGTGCATTCACAAAATTTACATAGCATAAGTAATAGAAAGTATCTGTGACAAAGCAATCTCTTTGTTTCTTTCATTTAAGATATACAAAAATTAAAACACGAATAATACCTGGACAAGCCCTTTGTTTTTGAACAAGGAGAGAGAGAATATGTATGACTTGGTCACATATTTAAGTGTTTTAAATTTAACAATGCTACGCATTATTATTATTTTTTTTTATAAATAATCATATTTAATTATTTAAGGGAGGAAGGAAAGATAAATATTACGTAGACATGAAAATGGTGTGAATTATAAATAACATAAACCAAAAGCGAAACAAAAACCCGGTAATATAAAAATTTCAAGTATTCCAATAAATTCTTGGAAAAATGACAAAACGATTGTTCTCTGCCCAGGTATAATTATTCCTTGTTAAATTTTGGAGAGATGACATATACCTCGGAGTAATTCATGTGCTAGTATAAATAAAGTGCACTGCTGTACTTGTCTAACATGGATGTTTATTGGTTTTTAACTTAGTACTGAAACGGTGTAAGCAATTTTTAAATGTCAAATTTGTAAAATGGGAACAAATTCACGGATTTTACCTTTATTTCTCTGTGTTTTGTCGATTTTCCTAACTTTCTGTCATTGTCAAAGGAACAGGAGTTTGAATTTGTACAAGCATCTTTTTGACCCTGTAAGATACGATCCGGGCATCATTCCAAATTGTGGAGAAGAGGATCATGTAGCTATAAAAATTGAGATGGCTTTGCGAGATATTGTAGAAATTGATGAAAAACAGCAGTTGATCCGCCTAAAAATATGGATTCGGTTAGGATGGAAGGATTGCATGCTGCAATGGGATCCCTCAAGTTATCAAAATAAGACTGAGTTGGTTGTACCTTATTCCAGAATTTGGATCCCGGATATAACCCTGTATGAAGGAGTTAGTGATGAAGGAAATATGCCTCATATGGACGTTTACAGGGCCAGCATTAAACATACTGGGAATGTGATGTACATGTACCCAAGCATTGTTACAATTGCGTGCAAATTTAATGTGGCGTATTTTCCTTTTGATCATCAAATGTGCAGTATGAAGATCGGTTCCTGGATTTACTCTGCAAAGAATATCGAGATGAAAAGTATCAGAGAAGATGTGGATATTTCCAGTTTCAGGACACACAATGAGTGGGATATAGTTGGAACCGCAGCAGTGACACACAATGCCCACTATGGTTGCTGCCCCGATCCGTACTCTGATGTTACTTTTCATATACATATCAGAAGAAAACCTCTTTTTTATATCATAACAATCATTTTCCCATGTTTTATGATCAATTTATTAAGTTTTTTAAGTTTCGTGCTACCGTCATTTTCTGCAGAGAAAATTTCGTTACAAGTTACTGTCCTGCTATCTGTTACCGTATTCCTTTTACTTGTACAAGACAAATTTCCATCAGTCTCTGAAAAGTTCCCCCTTCTTGTCATGTATTTTGCAATTTGCATGGTACTCGTATGCATATCATGTGTATTTTTTACTATAGTTTTACATGTGTATTATAGATCGCCCGAGGAACATGATATCTCCCCGTTGATCTACTCTATCTTCTTAGACAAATGTCGAAAAATGATGTGCATAAAGTTCGAAAACGTTCTGAAGCCAGTTAAGCAAGTATGCTCTCGTGTAGATGAGGGGAAAACAGCAGAATGTACCGAGAAAATATGTTTTGAAAAACACAGTCGTTGGAAATGCTCAAAACTTTCCAGTGAGAATGAGCTTCCAGAATGTTCTTTCGATGAGATTCCAGAATGTTCTTTCGAAATCAAACAACAATCAATCCACCATGACCGCCACAAATGCCACGTCACCAATGAATGGGAGCTCATTGCTTGTGTATTGGATCGTTTGTTTATGTTTATTTATATTTGCTTGAGTATGATTAATAGCATTGCTTTTTTCATCATCATGTGGAACTACGAAGAAGAAGACATTCCAATTGATTGATTTTCTTTAAAATTTGTTTTGTGACTAGAGTTTTAGGCATTCAAATAGCACGACAGTATTTTAACAATCAGTGGACATTTTTGCTAATAGGACAAATAATATTTTCTGAATGTCAAAAAAACCCCACAAGTTTTCTTATTATTATTTTAGTAAATATGCCAATGAGAACATAAATGGCAAATTTGTAGTTTGAGTTACATATTGAATTATTTCCCAATAAAGAGGTATAGCGCCCTTTCCTAGTATTTCACCAAATACCAGGTTTAAAAGGAAAGTACCTATTACTATTAATGGATTCACTTGGCGCATTGGATCTTTATACTAATGTTTTTCATTTAAAAGATTTCCTCGTAAATTTATGCTCTCCGGGCTATAAATTCACGAGAAACAGTATACAGTAAAGTATACACGAGATATTTCTCTTTCATTTTTTCACAACCAGCCTCTCTGGATTTATGCATATTTCACTATAATCAAATCAAGTATTTTTCATAATTTTTAAAAATATTTTATTAGTTTGATATTTTACAGAATTGTGTATCAAGATTTTTTTCTTGACTATTTTCAAGATTTTGGTTTAAATGAAAGGTCTAAATCACTGTTTGTTTCGGGTTACGTTACTGCATCTTAAGTATGTCGTCCACGTTTCCACTTTTTCTCTTTTATATGTGTCTCTTCTTTCCAAAATTGTCGAAAATCCCATCTTAATTTAAGTCCAGGTAACAATAAATTCAAATTTTATTTGATTAGCAGACAGGTTGGAAGAATAATGTTTATCTCTGATGAGTATCGAATGTGAAAATACGATAATCAAAAATTAACTAGCCAAAGTTAAAAAAAAAGAACTAAACATATACTTACACAACTATTGGTCCAGATAAGCAAAAATTATTTTTATGAAAACCAGAAGTCACTCAAAAACAGTTCCTTGTCCATTAGGCTACGCACGCTATTGATAACTTCTGTGTCTTTTGTGTATATATAACTCCGTGCTATGAGTCTTTCGGAAAATAGGATAGCTAAAGTATATAGAAAATTTTCAATATGAAGACCAAGTTAAACCAAGAATATTTTGATATAACAGTATTCCATGATGTCAAAAGAAAGTAACCCAATCAAGATTTCAAATATTTCGTTCAAGACAGCAAAACTATTTCTGCTAACTAATTGTATTTGCTTACAGCTAGATTTACTTAATATCATAAAATATTGAAATACTTTTGATGTTTTCAGATTCGCTATATTGTAGGCCAATTGGTATACTAAGTGCGCTATATCTCTTTAAAAAAAAAATAAGAAATCAAAATACATGTATAGTGATATTCAATTCAAAATCATCAAGGATAGGGTATACAAACTCGTCAATTTATTAAATGATTCAATAATTTTAAGCGCAATTCTTTTACAAACTTATTTCATGTGACAATGCAGATGACATGATTAAGGTTCATGTTGTTAAGGCTATTTTATTTACGTTTTCATTTCAGAGTCACTAATGCATTATACTAGTGAGGCTTACTGAGTACCGAACTCGCGCACTGCTATATGGCATGTCAAACGTTGCAATATTTGATATTTTCCGTTTGTATTCTATAATTTTTATTTGTATTCTATGAATTTTATTTATATTGTATAATTTTCCATTTATATTTTTTTTTTGAATTGTATGATTTTCTATTTGCATTCTGTAATTTTCCATTTAAATTGTGTAACTTTTTATTTGTATTCTATATTTTTCATTTGTATTGTACAAAAAAATCATTTGTATTGTATATTTTTAATATGTATTCTGAATTTTCCATTTGAATCACATTTGTACATATGTATTTTTTAAAAAAAATTTTATTGTATCCAAATTATTTATTTGTATCGTTACGACGGATTTCATTGGTCAAGTAGTGAATAGTGTGCAAAACAAACGAGATGTTTCGGGTACTAAATACAAACTGGGTTCCTATCTGCGTGCATGTTAGGGTACGAAGATTTCATTCTCACCCCCCCCCCCCTCCCGAAAATTTTATCGAATCAGATTTTTTATTTTCATTTTATTTTCAGGACAGAATATTTTTTTTCCAAGATGACCAAAGATAACAAGAAGGAGAAAAAGAAGAAAATCTGCACAAACCCGAAAACTCCGGGTTTTTTTTTTGGGGGGGGGGGCGGGGGGGGGGTGCTTAGGTACCACAAGCCAAGTTCAAGTTATTTATTTTCTTCCCAGTAAACATTTCTGAGGACAAGTTATTTTATTTTTCATCTTCCAGCTCACCGTTTTTCAAAATCAAATGACTGTCCCCATACATAAACGCGCTGTTTTCAAACAGAAATTTAAAGAATTTCGTGGGCCGAAGAAAGGATAAAAAAGACATTATTGCAAAACTAACAATTAATTTTGAAAAAAAGATACTGAAATACAAATCAAACAGCTAAAAATAATATCAAAAGACTCAATTACAAATCAACAGACACACATTTTTTTTTTAAATATTATAACGTTTTAAATATTATTGAATATTGATATCAATATATACTTTTCCGTTTCTTGACTGCTTGGATAAATTTTTTGCTGAAATGGCTATTTCTGGCTAAAATTTGACAATGAACATTAAAAAAATTTAATAAACAAATTTATAAACGTTACCTTTTCATTTTGTTTTTTTAACTGAAACCATGGTTTGACAGAATAAAATAATTTACATGCAGCTTATATAACTGGTCTAATTAATCCTAGGATAACGAGCGTTTAAATTCAAGACCATTTTTTCTACCAGATGAAATATGTGCTCGTTGTGTTTTCTTATTTAGTGTTTTGTTGCTGCTTTATTTCAACATAATATTACAGTAATATAATATAATATAACATAATATTATAATATTACGTAATATTACAGTTTGGACACACAGAAAATTCAAATGTTCATTTAATTTCTCGTCATTAAATACAGGTAAGAGTCTATCCTACAAGTGGAATGCATTTCGTCTTCGTTTACCTTCGTTTTAAAACTGCTCTTTAATTGTAAACTTAGAATGTAATTTTTAAAAAAAAGTATAGTTATAATGTGAATGTTTAAGATATTATTCCTTTAGAGATTCTTCTTAATAGTTCAATTCTTTCATATTTAGAAAGTTGTTTTTTAAAAGCAATTATATCGACCCTTGTAGAATAATGACCGGGAAGGGGGTGTCAGTTTTCGACATCAAAAATGATCCCCTATCTGTAGATAAATGTGGATATCGTGTAGAAAAAGAACACAAGGGGTCACCATTTTCTCGAAAGAAAAATGTTCGTTACTTATGTTGTAGTTTTAAGAAGAACTAGATGCTGTCATAGGACAGTAATACCCGCACTAAGGTGTTTGTCTCTAAATGCGCTCTCCTTCAAATTCCAGTGTAACCACGGAAAAAGCACACATTTAAATCGAGCATAAATTGCTCAGGTGAACATGCACCTCATATCGGCCTCTTATTTAATATTTCATTACCAGTCTGAAATTACATAATTGAATAATGTGAATTCTGTTAAAGAGAAAATTTTTGAAAGATTTGTGTAAAAAAAAAAGGGGGGGGGTATTTTTGGCCCATAATTGGAACTTGTTGAATGTAATATCAAAACAACAAATGTTATTATTTTAATGCGTAACTTTTTTGATGAACTTAAAAAAAAACAGATGCCAAAATGACAACTTGTGCAAATCTTTATCAGTATTTGGGTAGGAAAATCCCTTTCCAAACTTACACCCGATCAACTTTGTCAAAAATCAACCCCCACCCACGATACCTGTTTTCCCGTCATATTTGGAAAAGGTAACACAAACTTATGTAAAAACGAAACATTGTATTTAATTATAAGATATAAAGTTTACAAATGTACACCTTTTTTGGAAATTTCTAGACCCGCACATGGCGTTGAAATTGCATCACACTACGAGCACCACTTTTACCGTTATCATTATTGGATTGCACATGGTGTATGTACATCATTATTACCAGTGGGAATATTAATAGTGTGTGTTTTAAATGGATTTATTACTCTATGAAGTTAACAGTACCTATAACAGACGGTAAGTACATTATGAATACATTATTTTAAAAGTATAGTATAGAACGGGGTAAAATAATCAAAATAAAAATGGTTAGGGGCCAATAGTTTGAAAAGGGTCAAAGATCATTGGAATGCCACATGCAAATTATACATTGAAGCAAGTCCCTGGGGGGTAATTCCCACTCTTTGGAGCCGGAAACAATAAAATAGCTTTCGTTAAAGCAAAAGCCCTTGAGTCATCTTTGTACTATGACACACTAAACAGGATATATGGGGTCATGACCCCTCGGAAGTCATTCCCAACCCCTAAAACTTCGAATTATCAAATATCTTGAAAATGATTGAAATTTCTCCCCTTGACCATATATAATATTGTCCCTTGAGGCATTATGCATTAAATGGTATAAAGGTTATGACCCCCTTGAAGTCATCCTCACCCTGAAACTGGAAATGATTACAATATGACCTGCGTCAAAAGTGTGTCAGTGATAAACGGTCAGCCCACCCTCCTAGAAGTAGAAAATGAAAATAATTCAGATACCCACCATTAAACTTTGTGTACATGTACATCTTTGTATTATTCACAATTTGTTTTATATCAAAACGAGTTATAAATAGTTTGTATACATAAACGAATTCGGGCTGGGAAAGGGGGAGGGAAATTTTAATATTCAGGTGCTTTAAATATAACAAATTTACCTATAAGTTGTTTTATAAATAATAATATGTCATTGCTAAAGGTAGAAAAGAAGGATAAATATGATGTAGACATGTGAAAATGTTGATGTCAAAGAAATAAAGAAAAGAAACCAAAAGGAAACAAAAACCCAGTTATTTTCAAATTTCAATTACTCCAATAAATTCTTGGAAAAATGACAAAAGATTGCTTTCTACCCAAGTAATTATCCTTTGTTAAATTTCAGAGAAAAATAAATATATTTCGGAGTAATTCATATCTTAATATTGAGTAACATCGCATTTTGTTTTGAGCACTACTGTACTTGTCTGACATAGATGTTTATTGATTTTAACTTTGGTACTGAAACGATGTAAGCAATTTTAAATGACTTATTTATGAAATGGGGACAAATTCATGGGTTTAACCTTTACTTTTCTGTGTTTTGCAGATTTTCCTAACTTTCTGTTTCTGTCAAACAGGAGTTTAAATTTGTTCAAGCATCATTTTGACCCTGTAAGATACGATCCGAGCATCATTCCAAATTGTGGAGAAGAGGGTCATGTAGCTATAAAAATTGAAATGGCTTTGCGAGATATTGTAGAAATTGATGAAAAACAGCAGTTGATCCGTCTGAAATTATGGATTCGGTTAGGATGGAAGGATTGCCTCGATATATACTTTTTCTTGATTGCTTGGATAAAATTTTTGCTGAAATTGCTATTTCTAGCTAAAATTTGATATTGAACTATAAAAAGTTAATAAACAAATTTATAAACTTTACCTTTTTGTTTTTTAACCGAAACCGAAGTTTGACAGAATAGATTAGAGCAAAACAAGAAATGATAAAGTAGTAAATGTTATTGTTTATGTTATTGCAAATGTATATTGCATAGAATATACTACACTTATCCTGTGCAAATCTTATGTGTAAATATTTATGTACATATTTTGTATACCTATGTGACGTATTGTTCAAATAAAACATGAAAACATGAATCATTAAGCTTATATAAGTAGTCTAATTAATTCTAGGATAACGAGCGCTAAATTCAAGGCAATTTTTCCTACCAGATATGTGCCCGTTATGTTTACTTAACTAGTGTTTTGTTTCTGGCTTTATTTTAATATTACAGTTTGGACACACAGAAAATTCAAAGGTTCATTTTTAAATTCCTTAAATACAGGTAAGAGTCTGTATCATATGATACATTTCGTCTTCATTTACCTTCGTTTACAAATTGCTCTTTGAAAACTTAGAATTTTATCTTAAAAAAAAAAAAATAGTAAAATTGTAACGTGCATGTTCAAAATTCTCCGTAATAATTCATTTCTTTCGTATTTAGAAAGTTGTTTTCTAAAAACAATGATATCGACTCCTGTGTAAAAAAAAAAAAAAAGACACTTGTAGAATAATGACCGGAAGTGGGGGTCAGTTTTCGACGCCAAAATTGACCTCCTTTCTTTAGACAAATGTGAATATTATTTAGAAAAGAACGCTAGGGGGTCACCATTTTCTAAAAAAAAAAATGTTCGTGACTTAAATTGTAGTTTTAAGGGGAAAAAAATTAAATCCATCATATTCCACATTTTACACTACAAAATATTAACTTGATATTTACCATAATATATAAATAATAATAATACTGAAGATATTGTGTTTGAAACTGATTTCATTTTATACTTCACAATCAGTCAACAGGAACGGGGGTTTAAATTCTTAACTCATTTAGAAAAAGAAGTACGAAAAAAACGTGATACACATCTGCATGTATTCAGATGCCTACATTCTAATTAGTGTAAGAATTAATTGCGTCCTATGACAAGGACATTTTGCTGTACATAACAAAGATGTATTTAATTCAGAAATTCAAGTTCTTTTTCAGGAGATAAAGTTTCAGTGCACCAGGTAAATTGATATTCGATCTCTTCAGTTGCTAGAAATATCATTTTTATTACGTAACCTCATAAAAATTTACACTCTGTTTCTCTAATTCTTTTTTTTTTTTTGTGCACTTAAAACATTTTGCGAGGATAGGGCTATACCTATCTATAAAAAAAGTTTGTTGATTTTAAAATAATTTAATCAAGTATGATTGTCACGTTCAACAAAACTGGCATATCTATGCATTGTTTATGTATAATTTGAATTTTCATTCTTAGATATAATTTAATTTTAGTCAGGTCCGTCATATTTCATCGACCATGATAAAAAGCCTGATAATTCTGGTTCTGGTTTCGTCAGTACAAGGTAAAGTGATTACTTTTGTTTTCCTTGATTAACGCGTATAAATTCATCACAAAATCAGAAGAGACGAAAGAATCCTTCGGCAGTGTGTCAGAATTTCATTTTCATACCGCTTTATTTTTGTTGACAATGCTCTAGGATAAAGTCATAAAATTTACTACATGAAATTAACTTCAAGGAGGGATTCTTCTCATAAGAACACTTATTTCTTATATTCAAAAATCAATGAAATTTTCACAGAATCAAGAAGACAATATCACTAAGTGATGGTATCAGATTAAATTTGACCGTTTTATATTAGAGGCAAGGTCAGGTCAAGGTCAGTACCTTTTCCCTGGACATTAAGAATAAAAAAAATACTGTTGCCAATCATGCGGTGCCTACTTCTATTTCAATAAATTAAATGTTTTTCTTTTTGCATAAAGAGATATTACCATATAGGGCCTATAAGATGATATAACCAAATTGACATAAATAATTTAACTAAAATGGATATTGGCTAATCCGAATTTTCTCTATTTTTCTTAAAATTTTAAGATATTTTAGTTATTTTTATATGCTTCCTATATTTAAATTTTTCTTATTTTCACATATGGTAAAGTTGTCACATAAAGATACAAAATGATATAAAAACAAAAAGTTTTGACCATTAGATAAGAGAGAAAAAACACTTTTTACGGATTTTGGGCTCAAATCTGAACTTAGATTGGAAACTTTTAAAAGCTAACAAAATTGTAGTTTGTTTGGAAAATCATATTTATTCGATATATTTTAAAACTTTAGTCCCTTATTATTAATTTAACTTACATTTAAAAAATTTTTCCAAGTCTTTGATTGTGTAAAAATTATAACTAAATTCATTGTTCTATAATTATTTTGAGAGGCAGAAAAGAAGATATTTTCATACGCCGCCATTCCGCCAAAATATAGTCCCTGCTAAATTTCAAACTCAGTTTTCTATTTCTATTTAAAGTTGTACAATTGTGATGAGGAAAGAAAAATATGATCTTTTAAATCTCTTACATCTAAATATATAAAACATATAAGCAAATATAATTTGAATATTTCATCTAGTCAGAAACCAGACAAGAATCCCTCCTTAATTGAGTTAAATGCTTAGTAAATTATGATATAGATGTAAAACCTCAAATTCAATACAGAAAACAACGGATTTTGCAGATAATACAGCATTAACTCTGCAAAATATCAAAGCTTTTTGTACTATTTTGTCCTTCGTTTGTATATCAAATATCCTTCCGCTTTAACAGGATTCTTATTTTCCGAACCAAAGGAAGTTTGTTATACAAGGATCGGATGTTTCAGTAATGCATCGCCATTTGATAACACCAAGGGGACGCTACCCGATTCCCCGGAAAAGATTCAGCCAACCTTTATGCTCTACACTAGAAAAAACAAAAACACTGCCCAGATCCAAAACCCGTACGATTCAGACACCATTTCTGAGTCCAATTTTGCAGCAAGTCGACCGACAGTTTTTATCACGCATGGGTTTAGGGATACTGCCAAGACTGGATGGCCTGTAACAATGAAAGATGCTTTTCTCAAAAAGGTCACCTATCACATGTATGAAGCACGGGTGTAAAATTTCATATATTAATTTCTAGGGCTGGGTATCGGTTGGAAATTTCGTATTGCGATATATTACGATATTTGGAACTGCATTGCGATATGTATTTCAATATTTTTGATAACAGTTAAAGTACCCATTCCTTATTTTATTAAGCTCCATTTATAAGCAAAGTGTAATAAAACTTTTATAAATACGTATTAACAAAAGAGTTCTATTTGATTTCACTACATTTGGCAACGAAATGCAACCATATAACAGAGACCTTTACCTTTTGGTACTGTTGGGCTTGAATGAAAACGTTTCTGACATCTTAAATTTTATATTTTACTTCATAAATCTAAAGCCCAATCATTTTGCTGGTATATCGGTTCTGGAAAAACGTATCGCAATACGATATTCTTTGTAAACGAATCGCAATATACCGAAATATCGATATTATTGCGCAGCCCTATTAATTTCTTTAAAGCTTTTTCAATGCACGTACTGTAATAGTGACATCTGACTTGCGTGTCTCTTCTTATTGTTTTGTTGCTTGAACTGGTTGGAACCTTATATCAGAGACTAATTGTGTTCATTTTGCTTCATTTTCAGGGTGACATGAACGTGATACTTGTTGACTGGTCCAAGGGTACTAAAGGTGTCCGTTACATGAAATCCGCGGCTAACACAAGAGTGGTGGGAGCTACTATAGGTAATATGGTGGAATCTCTAAAAGACATAACGAACGCAAGGCTCAACCAGGTTCACTTAGTTGGGCACAGTCTTGGAGCCCAGATTATGGGTTACGCCGGGGACTGGACAAGTACGAATCTTAGGATCGGAAGAGTCGGTAGAATAACTGGTAAGAAATGTTCTCTTTCCCCAATTCTAAAATTTCATCAAAAAAGTAGTAATTAAACTAGGTCCCCTTTTCGACCAAAATTAGCAAAATGTTTTGCATATTTAGTTTTAGATAATTTTTCCTACCAAATCCAAAACATTAATAAAACTTTAGATTTGTATTAAATATCTGAATCGTTATGGCAAGATTATCCAACATATGTTTGATCTATGAAATATGGAGATAAAGAACAGTAATCAAACTCAAAATACAAAACGGGAGCAGTGCAAACACGGACCTCTAAAAAACATCAGAGTTGGGATCAGGTACGATGGAGGAGTAAGCATCCCCTGTCGACCGGTCACACCCACCGTGTGCTCTTTTGTCATGATCGGGCAAATGGAAAAATCCGTAGACAATTCAGTGTTTCAATAGTGGCCTAACAATTAGTATGAAAACGTCGGTCAGTATTCGACTTAATGATAGATTGTATTTCCTGATACTTGTATCGAACATAAAATGATGACTTTAAGCGAGACTGTTGATATTCTTGTCTCATCAACTTGTTTGTCAATAGCTTGCCTCGTTTTAGAAATTGTAAGTACGTGGAGCATATCGTATGAACTGGGAGATAAAAATCCCATGTGCAGGTGATAAAGGTATATTGCTACATAAGTAAGAGAAGTTGACGATAGAAAAGTTGAAATAAAACGTTTATCATAAAGTTTTATTGTTAGATTACCATTAACGTCTTTTTCTAGTAACATACAATGTATCCAAATATGAAACAGATATATCAGACTCTGTGGTATCTTTTATTTCAAGTTTACTGGGATATATCGAGTGGACAAAATGGAATTAACTATTGTTAATTGATAATACGTCGTCGATACATCTAAATGTCGAGTTGAAGGCCACAGCAAGTGTCTTCTTCTCATGTTTAAGTTTTTGAATAAATTCTGCTTCATATGAATAGATGGTTTTCCATCGAGGTTTTTTAAGCAAGAGTTATTTCTCTATGGCCGCCATATTGTAGGTCAATATCCCCAGATCCCTTCATTATTCAACCAAGTTCAATTTGTTATACTGGGCACTGAGATGAAGATTACACTGTTTTTCTTATGAACATATGTTTGTTAAAGGTTCTTTTAATTCATAATTTCAATATTGTAAATATTTTTCCCACATATTTCTGGCATGCATGTTTAAAATTGGTTGCTCAAAGACGAAAATTCACTACTTTGACCTACAAGATGGCGGCCAGGGGAAAAACTCCGAGGCAAAATACGTCATAGGAAAACTATATATACAAAAAAGATATACTAATAAGGGGTGCAACGTACCCATGGGAATTCAGACAGGTTGTTTGGAGACTTGATCTCCAAAAACAACATAAATATTGTCAATCAGAAACTCAAGCATCTTTTTGATATCAACTTCTGAGTACTTGTGTGTACATTCAGAATTTTTTTTAACAAAATAATTTTGCAAATGACCAATGCCAAGAAAAATTTACGAGTTCCATTTTTTATTGAAAAAGCAGCTGTCTATGATGTCAAAAAGCCTGGACTTTAATTTATCGTGTTGAAAAGTTGTACGTTTTATTGTTATTGATTTTGGTAAAATTTTGTATTTTGTATCTACATCCATATTATATAATAACATCTTTTGTTTTGATTTGTCCTTTTAGGTCTAGATCCAGCTGGATTATATTTTGAAAGATTTGACAACAAAGTGAAACTAGATCCATCTGATGCAATCTTTGTTGACATCATTCACACGAATGCAGCATCTCTTTTAAAAATTGGTACACTTTTCTTAAAAATTATCACGACAAATTTATTAACCGAAATTTATCTTTTTCATACAATAATTACTGCTGAACTGATGATTAAATTATCTATTTTCAGGGTTTGGAATCAGGACACGCAATGGACATGTTGACTTCTATCCAAATGGGGGTAAAAACCAACCAGGGTGCAAAGTGGTTCAGGGAGGATGCAGTCATATGAGGGCTATTGCCTACTTCACTGAGTCTATCAACTCCTCTTGTCAATTTAAGGCCTTCAAGTGTACGGACTACAAGGCATTCTTGGATGGAAAATGCACATCATGTAACAACGGCTGTAACAGAATGGGTTACCATGCCAACAAGAATGTACAAGGGAAATTTTATCTGCAAACAAACTCTAACAGTCCTTTCTGTAAAACTCAGTGATACTATTCCATATTCAAACTATAGAATATTTAACTGCCGTTGGTGGTAAATATGACCCTGTTTACTTTATTTAAACCATAAACTCAAAATTTGTCCGGTGCCGGTTCTTTATCTGTTGACAATTTTTAGACGTCTTCAAAATCACTGGCTCAGTAAAACTAATCTTGTGGACTTCAGGATGTTCAAATGAAGAGTCGAGTCCCCTTTATTGGAATATAAGAATTTAGAGAAATTTTATGCAGTCAGCGAAATAAATTAACTTAACACAACTGCATAAGAAAAATATTATGAGAAATGCAATTAGTTTGTAGTGTCTGTGTCAATCCAAGATTGTTCAAATTATGATTTCTTGTGTCAAGGTGGGGCCAAAATAGAAAATTTACCTAGATATATGGAGGTAAAATTAAAAAAGGATCACCCTATAAAGCAGTAAGTCTTAAGGAGGGATTCTTGTTTGGTTTCTGATTAGACGAAATATTCCAAGTATATTTGCTTGTATGTCTTAGATACTTAGCTGTAATGTATTAAAAAGATAATATTTTTCTTTATTCATCATAATTGTACAATTTTAAATAGAAATGGTAAACTGAGTTTGAAATCCAGCAGGGACTACATTTTTGGCGGAACTGCGGCGTATGAAAATATCTCCTTTTCTGCCTATCAAAATCACTTAGAGAACAATACATTTAGTTAATTTTTTTTAAACAATCAAAGACTTAAAGAAATTTTGAAATGTAACTAAAATTAATAATAATGCCCTAAAGTTTTAAAACATAGCAAATAATAATGATTTTCTAAACAAACTACAATCTTGTTAGCTTTTGAAAGCTTCCAACCTAAAAACAGATTTGAGCAAAAAATCAGTAAAAACAGTAAAAAAGTGTTTTTTCTCTGTTACTTAACGGTCAAATTTTTTTTGTTTTTGTATCATTTTGTATATTTATATGATTACTTCACCATATGTAAAAATAAGAAATATTTAAATATAAGAGTATATAAAAATAACTAATATATCCTAAATAGTTAGAAAAATAGAGGAAATTCGGACTAGCCAATAACTATTTAAGTTAAATAATTTCAATTAATTTGGTAGAATCATCTGATAGACCCAATATCGTAACATCTTTTTGTGCAAAAAGAAAAACATTTTATCTTTTAAAATAGAGGTAGGCTTCACATGATTAGCAACAGTATGCCGTATGCCGAAACGTTGGAGATCCAAAATATTTGAATAAAAAGACTAAAAAGACTACAGAACTGAAAAATGGTGCCAAAACTGGAGCCAAATACGTAGAAGGATCAAAGCTATGTATAGGGAGATAATCCTTAATTTTGAAATAAATTTCTATATTTATCACAGCAATTGAATATATATCTGTATTTTCAAGCTAGTACCGAAGTACTTAGCTACTGTACAGACCCTCAGGGACTAACAGTCCACCAGCAAAGGCCTCGACCCAGCGGTCATAATGTAAATCATATACATTAAAGTAATCCGATCCTCAAGTTCTGAAAACCAGGAGTTAAGTAATTGATAATTCTCACAAAACTGTCTCTGAATTCTCAAAATAATGTGTAGTATTTCTACAGAAGCCAGTGAAGACTAATACAATAAAAAAAAATTTTTAAAAAAAAGGTAAAACAAAACATTAATTTATTAAATTAATTTCTCGGACAGAGTGCCTTTTTCAGAGCCCAAAAACCAAACTGTTGTGTTGGCCCTACATCCTGAGGAAAACAGTTTGGTTATAGAGTCCGACAAAACGCATGTTGGCCTTGAACCAAGTCAATAAATATATAATGTTCGTTTGAGTTGAAACGAAGATGAACTGAAATTATAGCTACACAACACGTACGTCGATCAAACTCGTGTTTATCCGGTGTTGTTAAGTACAATGCCACTGACTGGTTATATTACATCTAAGGTACACACGACGGGTATGACCGATCGGCAGGGGATGCTTTCTCCCCATGGCACCTGATCCCACCTCATTTTTGGAGGTCCTTGTTGTTCTACTAACAATTTATATCGTTTTTGTGGACTTTTGAGAATGATCACTGTTCGATTTCATGAATTACCTGTTCCACATGTATTCTAACTAAGCATGCACACTTTGCTGCACGAAATGTGAAGATAACAAACAGTACCATGCTCCAAAAGTCAAACAATACAAATTGAGAGCAGACCAAGTTTACATAAAACTATCAGAGTTGGAATTAGGTGCCAGGGAGGAATGAGCATCTCCTGTCACACCATGAGCCTCTTTTCATGATCGGAAAAACGGAGTAAACATCAGGAAAATTAATACAAAAATAAATGTATGCACGTGTTAATGGTGTATTGCTATATGAATGAGAGAGGTTGGCATTTGAAAAGTTGATGTCATTACGTTTTTTTATAAAGTTTACTTATTAGTTTGCCATCTTTCTCTAGTAAAACATCCAAATATTAAATAGATGTTACAGACTCTATAGTGTCTTTTATTTCGAGTTCAATGGGATATATCGGATTCACTTATAAATAAAATTGAATATTGCTAATTGATAAAACGTCGTAGATATAATTATCTAAATGTCGTACTGAGGGTCACAGGAAGAGATTTCATCCTTTCATGTAGACGTTTTTGAATAAATTCTGCTTTATAAGAAAACGAAAAAAAGGTATATTAATAAAGGAGCACGAATAAACCCATGTGAATTTCAACATATTGGAAGACCTGGACCTGGGATCATGAAACAGCTTAAGCCAATCGCAACTTCTCGGGCATTTCCGACAAGCGCAAAAACAACCTCGAATGTGTTACGTAGGCATTCGTGTCATAAATATTGAAATAAATGTAGAGGGACCCTTGTCTGTAGAGTCTGGAGCTCAATTTCATTGAATGTAAAAATATTACCCAAAATATACTACAGAAGTGACACTCAACTCTGTCTATCCTATACTTAATAAATAGGAAACGACTCCATTTTGTATAGTTTTAACATCCGGTTATGTAAATACACTCGAGGTGTTTTTCCGAGCTTGCCGGAAAGACCCGAGAAGATGCAATTGCAGCTTAAGCTTAAATCAAATTCTTTCTTTGCCGCTAAAATTATTTAGATGACAAAGAGTCAAAAATAGAAATGCTATTCAACATTGCATCATATAACTGTTGTTTTCTGCAAATTATGTATTTCAGTACACAAGTAGTAAACATCTTACAGATTACATATAGTAGATAATGTCCGTGATCTCTAACATCTTTTTGTTTCAGAATTCTTATGTGAAGAATATTAAACAGAATGGTTTTTAACAAAGAACGTTTGTGGATGACCAAACAAGAAATGAAATTTACGAGTTCCATTTTTATTAAAGAAGCAGTACTCTATAATTTCAAAAAGATATATCTTCAGGCAGTTGCCATTGATGTCAAAAGGCTTGGTCTTTAGTTTATCGTGGGGAATGGTTGCATAAATTGTTGAAAAGTCTTACATTATGATACTATTAATTTTTGCAATTTTTTGCGATTTCAATCTTTTTTTTTTTTAAATAATGTTCTTTGGATTTTTTGGGTATTTAATTAACACCATTCTCGAATATGTTGGCACAGTATTGCTGGAGTTTTTCCTTACTGCTGTTAATATTTTCGTGAGGAGTAAAGGAGATTTGGTAGAACATTTACTAGATCCTGCTATGTATTATTCTTTGTAAGGATTTTTATGAAATGAAAAAGTTTAAGGCAATCGAAGGCCCCCTTTCAGACGTTTTCCCTTCAACCACTCCCAAAAAATATTATCTTCCTTCATTGATTATATGTTTTGTTTTTGTATATATGAAAGAAATCAAGGAAGATAAAGTTAAAATTGTATACATGTATCCTGTATCATTATGCTGTACTTTTGAGAGTAGTTCTGTACCGTAGTTAAGTGTTGTATTTATTTTATTTATTTTTTTTTTTGCTTTGAGGGAAAAATAAAAACATAATGAATGATTTATACACACGATTCCTGTAGAATATAGAAGCTAAATACGCTCTCTTTAACTATGTGTATGATTTTCCAATTTCGCTAAAAATCCAGAGATCAAACTAAACATGCAAGCTAGGCTAAAATCAGCTTTGGTTTGTCAAACATTCATGTACTCAACATGTGGTAGACCTACTTTGTCACCAATTAAACAACAATTAAAAACAAGAGGCCCATGTGCCACATCGCTCACTTGAGCACATTGACTAATCATGGCTTTAGAAGATTTTTTTCTATATGTTTGATTTTTTCTATTGTGTCCCCGCCCTACCCTCAGCGGACATGATTTGAACAAATTTGAATACACCTTGCATGAGGATGTTTCTGATTTAATACAACTAATCAAGGATTTGCTATTCTTGGGAAGAGAGCTTTTACGATTTATCCTATATATTCTCATGTTACACTTTGATCACCAATTATGGTCCCTCCCTACCCTTGGGGGTCATGATTTGAACAATCTTGAATATAAACTATCCGAGGATGCTTCCATATAAATATGTCTAATCATTCCTTTACTGTTCTTGAGAAGAAGATTTTTAAAGAATTTTCATATGTATATCTACGTAAAAATTTGAATGATCATTGTGGCCCCTCCAAACCCCCAGGGGTCATGATTTGAACAAATTTGAATCTACATTACCTGAGGATGTTTTCATAAAGATATCACCAACCATGGCTTTGCCGTTCTTGAGAAGAAGATTTTTAAAGATTTTTCCTATATATTTCTATGTAAAACTTTGATCGCCCATTGTGGCCCCACCCTACCCCCAGGCGTCATGATTTGAATAAACTTGAATAAACATTAAGTCAGGAAGCTTTCACATAGGTTTCATCTATTTGGCCCAGTGGTTCTTAAGACGAAGATTTTTAAATACAACCACCCATTTTTCGCTATTCTTAGTTTTCTTCCCTTGGGACCGTTCACGGTAGCTCAGTCGGTAGAGCGCTCGCTCCGTGATCGGGAGGTCGTGAGTTCGAATCTCGGCCGCGACAGACCTAAGTCGATAAAAAATAGGTAGCAACTGTTCCTTCGCCATGCGCTCGGCACTTTGAAGTGAAAGTTGCGGGTCCTTCGGATGAGACCTTAAAAACCGAGGCCCCGTGTCACGGCAGGCGTTGGCACGATAAAGATCCCTCACTGCTCAATGGCCCTGAGTGCCGAGTAAAGGTCAAAATTTGAAGCCCTTCACCGGTATATGGTGACGTCTCTATATGAGTGAAAAAATCTCGAATGGGACGTAAAACAATATACAATCAATACAATCAATCTTCCCTTGGAAGAGGGTGTGGCCCGTCATTTAAAAAACTTGAATCCCCTTTACCCAAGAATACTCTGTGCCAAGTTTGGTTGAATTTGGTCCAGTGATTCTTGAGAAGAAGATGAAAATGGGAAAAGTTAACGACGACAACAACGACAGAGAACGGACAAAGAACACGGTTCACTTAGGGCCTTTTTTGGCCCTGTGAATTTCCGAAAAACTGAAACTGTTTAGTTTTAGTTGACAATGCATTAAATTTCATTTAGACATTTGGCGATTGC